TAGAACTGAAATCTGTATTCTTGCATATGACCCAACTGAAACAATTACTGTATTAAGGGTATTGTAACAGCGATGTAATTTATACTTTGATATTTCTTATTTGACGATTTTTAGCAAAATAACAGTAAAGAATAATCCAGTTTTCCAACATCTCGTTACTCTGCATAGAATCCAATTGGACATTGTGTACAGTGAGCTTGGTATTTGTAAAGTTACAGTTATACATCTTTATTAAACATTAACTCTGGTAGCGTAATGTGACTATTGGGGACATATGGTGGAAGGGGTCCAAGTCAGTGGTGATATCTAGACCAGGTTCCATTTCTAGGTATTATCTAGGTATTACTGTAATATTACTTGGGTACAATTAGAAGTGTGATAGTTTAGTGGTTATCTGTTGGAACAAATCTTGTTTAGAAGGAATATTGGGGGATTTCCATGCCCGGGCAATTAGTGTATTTGCCGCTATTAGTACCTGGAATGGTAGTTTAAGATTCCAGCTCAGGTCCATATATCTGTCCTGCTATTTGTTTAATAGTTTTATTTCCCTACATGGATACCTCTGTCTTATCCCTGTAATCTTTTTATATTTCCCTTTGTTTTTGCTTGAATGACCTTTACCTCAAATGTCCATAGATGCATCTTACCCATTCCTTAGCTTTATTGCAGGCCCATCTGACCCTAATATATCTCTCTCCCTATATCTCTCTTAAAATCTATCCAGCCCCAGACTTGCAAGCAACACAGAGCTGTTCCACTGCCCTATAAAACCGGTCGCCTTCTGGAGGACAGTTTCCCTCTCACCCACCCCAAGCTCATTCCCTCATTAATAGATAGGCTCCCACACAACTTTCATTCTCCTGATCAGCACATCCTTCCAATATCGTATGCCTATAGAATACATATACTCCTTACAAATAGCTATATATCATACACCAATATTATATACTTTGATTTAATTTTTAATAAAATGTTTTAACTATTTGTGTTTTGTTTTCATCTACACACCTCATACCACTAACATGAATCCAAATATAACCATACTGTTATTCGTGATAACCCTTTTCTCACTCCAATTTTGTTCACATCACTACCACCACCATCACACACCTCAAACCGGAAAACAAATTATCATACACCATGGCCTGCTCTGTTGCAGTAACTTATCTGTTGAGTGCTGGTGGAGAGTTATAAAAAAAATAGCCCTTCTACACCCACCTCACAAAATTATAAAATATCCCATTCACGATATGGCCAAACAAAAATGATGTCCACATTCCTATTTCTTATGTTACTTGCCCTTGCAAATGATGTGGAGTCTAACCCTGGCCCCCCAGCTAATTCCAATCCTTGTTTCCCCACTAAAAAAGGCCTCTCTTTTGTGCACTGCAACATCCGTAGCTTGCTCCCTAAACTGGATGCACTACAAGCCTGGTGTTCCCATTACAAACCAAAAATCATTGTGCTCTCAGAATCATGGTTAACAACTAAAATACCAGACTCAGCCATAGCAATACAGGAGAATTCATGTTTTGGAAATGACAGTGCAAAGAGAGGAGGCGGCATTGTTATTTATGTTGACAAGTCCATAAAATTTACTCCTTTAAAAAACTAACTCCCCTTCTGCCTTTGATTTCCTTTCTGGCACACTTGAGAACGCGTGCAGTAAATCAGTCATTGTTGCAGGAATCTACCGCCCACCTAACTCCCCAGTGCATTGCCTTTCTGACATGGCCCATCTCCTTAGTAAAACCATAGCTCAAAACCCAAAAAGTGAATTGTTGGTCTTTGGAGATTTTAATATTGATTGGCTGAATCCTAAAAATAATAGTTCTTGCTCGCTGTTTAAGACTTTGCAGCTAACGCAATTAATCTCCTAACCAACTCACATAAACTTTAAAAGCCTTAACCATAAATTGCTCAATTGGATTCTCTCCACTTCTCCTGCTTGAATCCAGGAGGCCGGTGTTCTCCCTAACAGTTTCAGTGACCACTGCTAAGTGTACTGCGTGCGCAAAATAAAAGCTACTAAATCCTCTCCCAAGGTTAAAATCACCAGGTTCTTCAAAAAATTTAATCTTGAATAATTTCTAAATGACATCAAAAACCTCCCATGGCACAGATTAAACATTATCCCAGATCTAGACTGTGCTGTTGAAATCTTTCAGTCCAACAAGTTTGGACTTTGCATGCCCTGCTGCGTAAGGTGAGAGTAAAAGGGGCACATATCAACTGAATCTCAGCTGACCTCATTCAAATGTACCAGTTTCGGGATTCATTGTGGTCAAAGTTCAAGCGTACTGGTTCTATGAACGATCACTGTGCATATATATGGCAAAACAAACAAAATTGGCCAAGGCCTAATATTTCAGTGAAATCTGAACAATAACATCTCAAACCCAAGAAATGTTTGGAAAATCATAAATAACTTACAAACTCCCCCAATCCACTCCCAACCCTCCACTGTCAACGTGGACAACCAAACCCTGCAACTTCCCTTAGCTGTAGCAAATGCCTGTTTGCCAAGCTGATAAATGACACACATCCCTGAAACTACAAATGTGGATCAGGCTCCACTAAATTTGCAAAGGCCCAATATAGACAAGTTCACTTTAGACCTGTACCTAGTAGTGTCATTAAGAAACACCTTAATCTAAAAATGAAAAACCATTCTGGATCTGATCAAATCCCAGCAATGCTATTGAAGCTCACTACACCGGCAATTGCTAAACCTGTTACAACCCTAATTAATGAACCCTTGGTGTCTGCATACATACCCGAAACTGCGAGAGTAGTGCCCATTCATAAAAGTGGTGACACTTTTCTAACTATCGCCCAATATCATTGCTCCCAGTATTGTCAAAAATCTTAGAAAAATGCGTCCATACGCAACTATGTGAGTATTACCAACAATCTAACTATCTGACCCCTGATCAATCGGGTTTTCGCCCAAATCACTCCACTACAACTGCCCTCTTAAGTTTCCAGTGACATCCAAACTGGCATGGAACAAGGAGACCTAACAGGAGCTATTTTCCAGGATTTTGCAAAGGCCTTTGACACAGTAGACCACGACATTGGTGTTGTCCACTAACCTGGTTTCGATCATATGTATCAGATCAATCATAATGTGTCCATTTCTAACAGCAACTCCCTTCCTCTCCCAGTCTCGTGTGGTGTCCCCCAAGGTTCCATCCTCGGTCCCCTACTATTCACATTATTTATAAATGATCTGCCTAATGTCTGCACATCCTCAAATGTATGCAGATGACACAGTAATCTATGCAAGCAAATCTGATCTACCGCAGCTTGAGGCTGTGCTCCAAGACCAGTTCCTAGAGGTAGAAAAGTTTTATTTTATTTATTGTGAATTAAATATTACATTAATCGCCTTCCAAGTAATTTCTGATCATTGCCTACCTTTTACAAAGCCCACTTGATCATCATTTATTATTGCAGGTAAGATTGGGCTTAAGCAGGCCGTGTATCTTTTAGCCTTTGAATTTTGCACCAGAATTTAAAAGGGACATTTCTTTAAAGTTGGAACATTGAGTGGCTGGTTTTCCTAGTTTGGGCAAGGTTACTATGTGAGCAGCTGCTATTTTCTGCAGTAAATCTTGCGATTGTGTTGCATGTATAAGTAGATTGGCAAAATGAGGACCTGACAAATTACCACACTGTACTACATGTTAGAAAAACCATCTGGGCCAGGGGATTTACCTGAGGGTGATGTTTTAATTACTTTACCCACTTCCTCCGTTGATATTGGTGTGGCTAAAGTTTCTTAGTACTTTGGAGACACTGTTGGCAGAGTCACAGGGTTAATGTAACCTTGTATTAGCTCTATTAGTGGGTTGTTGGGCAATATTGTCTTGTCTCAAACTGTATAGCTAGTTTATAAAATCTGGTAAACTCATGACTAATGGCTTTTTGGAGTAAGCACTTTTGTCCCAGAAGGGAAGTTATGAATGGATTTTTCTGTTGTACCGGTCTGTCGTTCAGTCTGTGTGCTAGCAATTTCCCTGCGTAATTGCTTTGGGCATGCTGTGTAGCTGTGTACTCTTTTTAAACTATAACCTAATTTCTTCAAATTCTGTTTATTAAGTCCTGTATCTGTTCTTTCAAGAGTGGTGAGGAGTGTGTCTAATTGTCGGATAGTTAAATCATGAAGCAGCCTTTGCCATTTCAGTAATTTAAGTATGGGATGTGCGTTTTAGGTGGGCTGCTCATCAAATCAGCAAACCTCTAATAACCGGCTTGTGAGCAAGCCATATGGCGGCAGGACTAGTGTCGGTGGTAGCATCGTAATCCTGGAGAGGATACTGAATCCTTAGTTTTGGTATTGGGTACTTTGATATATTGCTTTTACAATGGGAATATTTGGGCTAAAACTGAACCATACTATTATCCAAACAAATATTTTCTAAATAACAGAGTTTTGTCTTGCCAATCTCCAACACAGGTCAGTGCTAAAGACAATCCACTGCCTAAATAAAAAATAAATTTAACACTTTTTATATAACGTGACAGGAGATCAGAACCATTCGGCCCAGCTAGTCTGCCCAATTTTCTAAATACTTTCATTAATCCCTGGCCTTATCTTATAGCTAAGATAGCCTTATGCCTATCCCACGCATGCTTAAATTCCTTTAATGGGTTAACCTCTACCACTTCAGCTGGAAGGCTATTCCATGCATCCACTACCCTCTCAATAAAGTAATACTTCCTGATATTATTTTTAAACCCTCTAATTTAAGACTATGTCCTCTTGTTGTGGTAGTTTTTCTTCTTTTAAATATAGTCGCCTCCTTTACTGTGTTGATTCCCTTTATGTATTTAAATGTTTCTATCATATTCCCCCTGTCTCGTCTTTCCTCCAAGCTATAAATGTTAAGATCCTTTAACCTTTCCTGGTAAGTTTTTTATCCTGCAATCAATGAAGCAGTTTAGTAGCCCTTCTCTGAACTCCCTCTAAAGTATCAATATCCTTCTGAAGATACGGTCTCCAGTACTGCGTACAATACTCCAAGTGAGGTCTCACCAGTGTTCTGTACAATGGCATGAGCACTTCCCTCTTTCTACTGCTAATACCTCTCCCTATACAACCAAGCATTCTGCTAGCAAATATACCCCAAATAAAAACATGCATGTATTTGATTATGCATTTTTTTTTACTAGGGGTGTATCTAAAAACAGCTTGCAAAAGCTGCAGTTCTCTTGTCTGCAGCTTTTGCAAGCCCTCCTCTTCTTCCTTAGCCCAGTATTTCCAATCACAGACTTCCCAGACCTGCGACTATACTTGCAAGTTCCAAGCAAAATATTTCAGATTTTCACTTACCTGTACCCCTTGGGGCCTGATGATAGTGTTTGTTAGTGTAAAGACCAACAATTTGGTCTTTAAGAATCCGATTCATAAATGTGAATGACCTATTTAATTATTGACAGCAACACTTTACAGAGATGCCAATATTAAACATTACACTATCTGTGTAAACCTTTCATAATTTAGTGGATCCAGACTGTATTGTAAAGTACTGCTGCTGAAACAGAAGATGGTGATATGTTAGAGGAAACGGAGTAGATATGTGATTTATTTAATTTTTTTAGGTTGGAAAAGAAAACAAAAAACATCCACACGGAAGCCCACATGACAATAACAAAGCATATCCTCTTCATACTGAACTGAATATCTCCATTTTACATCTCCTTGCAACATTCAGGTACTGGCTGAAGCTTGGAAGATACCCCAACTCATTTATTCTTCCTTTGTTAACATATTGTTATTTGTTTTTATAGCAATGTTACCATTTATACCGTAGTTTGCCAGAGTACAAAAGTATAAAAGAGCTTTAACGGCTAGATCATAGCTTAAGGGCAGGGCCCTCTTTTTATAATACATTTGTATTTGTCTGTGTATATTGTAAGTTCTCTCCTAATTCTACAGCTGCGAAATTTATTGGCGCTTTAATAAAAAATTTTTTTTATAGATTCTAGAGCTGATGTGGGCTTTTTTTTAAAGGGACACTATAGTCACCAGAACAACTACAGATTATTGAATTTGTTCTGGTGAGTAGAATCATTACCTTCAGGCTTTTTGCTGTAAACACTGTCAGAGTATATGCAGTGTTTACATTACAGCCTAGTGATAACTTCACTGGCCGCCACTCAGATGGCTGTTAGAGATCCTTCCTGGGTCACGGCTGCCTAAAATGCATCCAATCATTCAGTATCTCCTCCCTCTGCATGCAGACACTGAACTTTCCTCATTGAGATTCATTGATTCAATTAATCTCTATGAGGAGATGCTGATTGGCCAGGGCTGTGTTTGAATCATGCTGGCTTTGCCCCTGATCTGCCTCCTTGTCAGTCTCAGCCAATCCTATGGGGAAGTATTGTGATTGGATCAGGCCACCACTTCTGATGATGTCTGCAGACTGTGTTTTTCTGAGTCAAACAGCATGTAGAGTTACAGCTTCAGGCTTGAGTACAGTAAAATTTTGCTATATTTATGGAGGCATGAGTGGTCCAGGGGGGCTAGATGGTGGTGTTAACACTATAGGATCAGGAATACAAGTTTGTGTTCCTGACCCTGTAGTGATCCTTTAAGGTCATCAGAGAGATTCTAGCCCAAATATGCATTTTAAAAATAAGACAGAAAAAAAGCCCCACACATTAAAACCAAGTTTAAAAGCATTTATTCTAAAGGGAAAAAACACAAACCATGTGTTCATGTCACTTCACTTACACAGCCAGATACTGAGTGACAATTCCAAACTAAAATACTGTACACTAGAAAGTAGGCCTTTTGTTGACATGATACTTGAGAAGGCTATTTAAGAAACGAGTCCACAGAAATTACATTTGTTTTGTTCTTCTTCTGACTCCTGACTGCATGGCTTTGCATAATTTTGTGTATGCAAAGACCGAGGTAGAGTTCCAACAGAGGAGCTTTGTGCTCCAATTAAAACGGCTTTTCCTATATATGTAGGGAAATGCTAGGCAATATTTTTTGTGAAGGCCCCTCTTATCTGGATACAATAATTTCCAAGAGACCTGAACTTGTGCTTTTTGTTTTGTTTTTAATGGTCCTAGTTTTCTTCTCCTTCAGACTCTGATTCTAAGGAAAAAAGAATAAAGAAGAATTATTATCCAAACCTAATAGACAAAAATGTTGCATAGTAGTACGACTTTGTAGTAAGATATATGGAATTCAGAACACATCTAGAATCTTTATAATCAAAAGTGGTAAAGATAGGAGCTCTCTCTAAAGAGGTTATATGAATCAGACTCTGCTATTCTGGAGAGATAACACCTATTTAATCATATGTGAAAGTGGCAGAGCAAAGAGGGATTTGAACAGTACTTAGTGGAAAGTGAAGATGGTTTGACTACTTACATTGGGACAGATCCAGGGCATTCCTGGTGTGCTGTACTGGATATGGGGCCTAGACTGACTCTTTAAAATTCATTAAAATCAAAACTTATTTTTTGCCTTTGCAAATATGAAACAGATGGTGGCGCCAGAGCTTTTGGACTCTTTGGAACAATAACACTGCACATCAGCTGTGTAACATAACATCCACATTTTATAGTGTGCGGTAGAGAGGGCCCACATTAAAACCACTGACAGGTGAAGAGAATAACATTGATTAAATAATTACAACGGCACCTGTCAAAGGGTGGGATCTATTAGGCAGCAATTGAACAGTCAGTTTCTGAATTTTATGTGTTGAAAGCAGGAAAAATGGGCAAACAAAAAGATCTGAGCGACTTTGAAAAGCCACAAATCGCGATGGCTAGATGACTGGGTCAGAGCATTTAAAAAATGGCAAGTCATGTGGAGATATTCCTGTTATGCAGTGGATAGTACCTATCAAAAGTAGTGCAAGGAAGGACAACCGGTGAATCAGCATCAGGGTCAGGGGAGCCCAAGGCACGTGGGTAGCAAAGGCTAGCCCATCTGCTCCCATCACACAAAAGAGCTACTGTAGCTCAAATTGCTGAAAAACGTAAAGGGACACTATAGTCACCAGAACTCCTACATTTTAATGTCCCTGTAGAAATTTTCATGTAAACACTGTCTTTTCATAGAAAAGGCAGTGTTTACATTGCTGCCTAGGGATAGCTCCAGTGGCAGTTACTCGGGTTGATTCAATGCATTTGTATGAGGACATGCTGATTGGCCATTGCAGTGTTTGGCTCCGCTCCCGCCTCCTTGGGTGAGATCATCAAAAAGACCATCCCAGCCAATCCATTGCTTTCCTACGGGAAAGTATTCGATTGCCTGATATCATCAATTCTGATGTCAGCCAAGGAGGTGGATTGGGGTGGAGCCAGAGCCGGCATACCCACACAGCGCTGGAATAAAGGTGAGGTTTTTTTCCTATTTAAGAGGGGCTAGAGAGGGCCAGCCACCTAAACAGTGTTTAACACTACAGGATGAGGAATACACATTTGTATTCCTCACGCTATAGTGTTCCTAATGCTGGCCATGATAAAAAGATGTCAGAACACACAGTGCAGGGGTGGGCTTATAAAAAATAAAAAAAACATATACAAAACTAAATGAGAGTAAGCAAAGAAGGGAGAAGGGCTTATTAAATGAAGGGAGGGAGTTGAGAACGAGCTTCCTCTTGCAGGCTCTGTCTACAAGGGTTAAAGCCTAACACACCTGTCACCAGCATGCAAGGTGCGCTGACGACCGATGTATTTTATGCACGGAATTGACATTAGGCAGTCTGGAACAGAGTTCTGAGCTACCAATGTTGTGTGCTGGTGGTGCAACTAGACCCCCCCAAATTGCCAATAACTCAGTATTTGGAGTGTTTTCGAGCTGAAACACTGCACATACTTACTCCTAACACAATGACCATTTCAAATCAATGAAGTGGTAATGGTTGTTGTAGTAACCCGTTAAGCACTCAAAGCATAAACCTAAAAAACAAAACCCTTTGCCTCAATCCTAGATTTGACTCCTCTTAAAATTTAAACATCACGTGCCCAAATAGTAATTTAAGCCCATTCTAACCATAAACCCCAAAATTATACTAAAATTACAATCCTTCTCTATCAAGCTTTTAATCCACTTAACACTAAACATCCTATGTAATCAATCTTTGACTTTAACCCCTTTGTAACCTTGAACCCCCTTTTTACCCTAACCCTGTATGCGGTTACACAGCTGCTCCCCTTCACAATAATTGTCATTCAATTACATAGACATGACAGGTACACTTTAAAATTATACAAAAAAAAAAAAATACATAATGGGAAGCATGACATTTTGAACATGAGTTCTACATTGATCACACTGATGTTAAACGAATTAGGCAGATTGTGAAAGGATATGACTGGTTGGTGTTTTTTGTGTGTTTTTTTACCTTCTTCTGCATTCTGCAGCCATTCAACAAATTTCTTCATCTGGTCAAGGAAGACACTTTTCCCTTTAGCAACATGTGCCTCTTTATACCATTTTAAAATGGCTTCCTCTCCCAGGACATCGGCTGCAATTCAAACAGAGATAATATAAGCAATACAAAGTGATTTAAAATCATGTACATTATATCTGCTGCTTGACAAAGTGGCTGACAAACTAACAAATGCTAAATGCTATCATCCCGGAGTTCGAATGATAATCACTAAATAGCATTATATAGCACAGCTCACAATCGTCAGTTGTTGGGAGATCATACACTTTTGGAGCTCCAGTGTCATCGTCAACTAGTTACTGGCATTAATGCTACAATGAGAAATTAATTGATCATCTGTTAATTGCTACATAATTTGCTCTAATAAATATACACACATTTCAGATTTTGGTGAAGTTTTCATCACAATATCAATTTTAGTTTAGTATTACTCCTCAGTTTGTCTCGTACATGGCTTTTTTTTTTTGCCAGACACAAGATCTGCCCCCGGTGCCAAATGCTCTAGGTACGCCCCTGCACAGGTGCCTTATTCCCGGGCCCTATTTAGCTTTGTAATACAGAGGGCCCCAGATGGAAATTTTTTCTTGAAGATCATATCCTTGTTTATATACTTGTTATATGATTGTATTTGGATAAATTATGTGCAACAAGTGCATCATTTCACTTTCAGAGAATAACTATTACTATTTTTAAAGGGACACTATAGTCACCTGAACAACTTTAGCTTAATGAAGCAGTTTTGGTGTATCTGCCATTTAGGAGTTAAATCCCTTTGTTTATGAACCCTAGTCACACCTCCCTGCATGTGACTTGCAC